GCTGCCTAAGACGGCATTGACAATTGGGATGCTTGCAGCTTGATAATCATACAGGTTTGGAATGGTTGGGACTGTCATTGGAGGTATCTAGAAGGCCTCATCATCAACAGCTGCACCATCTTCAAGTTCTTCAGTGTTCTTCTTGATGCTGAAACAGTAGACCTCCTGAGAATCACTAGGTTGAACCAATTTTCCAGCTTAAGGGGACGTACCATTAGTGACCAAACACGCCTTCTTCTTGTGCGCAACTCTCTGGTCTTTCATGATCCGCTTTAGGTTTTCTTCGTCAAGTACGTTGCTGAGCAGCCAGTCCTGGCGTCATGTAGCCACTTCCCGGGTTCACACCATGGGTCATGGTCCATGGACTGAAGCTGTGAAGTTGCAAGACTGTAAGCAGGTCAGGTGCACAAAAACCTTTTGACAGTTGTCCAAATTGCATTGCCGTTCAGCATAAGCAAATCTAATTGCATTCATGTTGGCAGCCATCGATGTTACAGTAAAGGTCAGAGCCAAAATCTGAAGTAAAAACACATCAATCTGCTCTAGATTTTGAACCCTGACCAACTGGAAAAAACAGCGAATCTGTGACCATGAGACATTCGCTGGGGCACTGGAAGCTTGTGCCACACCTGGGCGGATAAGTCTGGCCGACCTGCTCGATTGGGCTTGAGAAAAACTTGGTGTCAGGCGGTTTTTCCGTCTCCATTGCGCACGCTTCATGCGCAGTCAGGCACCCCATGTCAGCTCATAATTATCTCGACAAAAGCATTCTGCCAGTTTGCGTTGATAATGAGAAATGTGTTTGCATCACACTATGATCCACCTCAAAAATAAACAATATCAACAAGCCAATCTAATTTCCCTTTGAGCCAGTGATGCCACTAATGACGTCATATTCCAGCCACGCCGGTACATTAGCATCCTCGACGGTCTTTTTTTGGATCGTTTCGCTAGTCGTCGTGATCCAAGGACAATGGAGGGTTAGGGTAGGGTATATGGATCCGTGGATAAGCATATTCTGATCCGTGGCCCAAAACATCCAAAAACTTGGCAGCTCCCGACCGAGTGAGTCCCGTTCCGCACCTCCACCTCTGAAGCCTCCGGTGGAACAAACGGTGACGGAGCAGACTCGAATCAAAGGTCTCCGTCCCCAGTGGATTGCAAAACCTCTTCCATCCTATTCCTATGAGAGGTGTCTGCATGACTCATCATGATTCATCAAGATGGGGGGTTGAACTATTGTTCAAAGTCTGCATGACTCGGACTTGACGCATGTTTCCGTATCTTGTGGGACCCCCACCAGAAGTGCGTGCATCCCGCAAGGCCGCGCCGGTCGATGCCGGTTTCGCACATCCCGTGCAGGTGGACACAAGGGCTGTGGGTCTAAACCCAGGATATGCCAGGGTTGACCTATTCTAGACTGGTCAAGCGGACTTTCTTGGGCTCCAGGTTGGACCCATCCCCATCTCCCCATCCCCACGTCTTTTCGACCGGTCGACCGGTATGGTGATCCGAGTCCTGAAACCGGCGGTGCAAAAAGCGTCGGTTCCGGGACTTCTGGGATGACCATCCATGTCATCCAGGTGGTTTCAGTAGGTTCGGCCTTTGGTTTCAGTGGATTCGGCCTTGTACCAACAAATCGTGCTATTTGTTTGACTGTGACAGGTAAGTAGACCCAAAAGTACATGACTCGTGTCACTTAGTGTGAAACCAATCCGCGGACCCCACGGCGATGTTGACCGGTCCGTCTCGGAACAACGGTCCGGTCCGGACCGCTCGGGAGCGATTGCATCGAGGTCGAACGCGTGGGGGTCGGTTCGGCCCGAACGGGCCGAACGAAGCGGAAGGTGAAGATCTCACGGGAAAAACCAGGTTTTTTTGGGGGGTATATGTTGTTTCTGAGAAACTCCATGTTGTATGTGTATCGATAACATTATCGTATATCATCCATGAAGTTTGGAGTGCCCAAGTACCCAGATTCCGCCACAGGGTTTGGATCCAAACACATCAAGACTGGTCTTTGACAGGTCTTCGGTTTGAACCACCAGCGATCGGAATTTGGAACAGGTGTTCCAGTGTGCTTTTGGGACACGCTGACTTGCAAAGAGCCTCGCCATCATCCAACATGTTTTTCAAATTTGGGATCGTTTGGGGACCTACTCTAAACTTGTGTGATGTGTTCGAAGGCTATTCAAGATTCAAAGGACAAATGTGTGATGATGCAAGGCTATGCTTGGGTCTGGAACACAAGGTGTTAGTCCGGAACATCGTCAGATTTATGATTGATGGGTGGGGATAGGAAAACACTTCAAAGGATAATAAGGCGCTTGAGCAACCGGAAGCGATTAACATCCCTCCCGCATACGTGGTGTCGTAGACCATCACCATAAAAAAGAAAAGACCCAAATGACCGAACCGTACCAACCAATCAATTCAAATCTCCTTCTGAACCGAACCTGTCTGCGGTCTGAGCCGATGTGTTTCGGACGTCCCCTCTCCATGGCCTCGGATGAGAACAAGTGGGCCAGCTCCTGCACATCTCGACCAAGCCTGGCGTGAGGCCCACACGATGTCCGCCAGAGGTGAAAGGCAGTGTGAGAAGACCCAGGCAAGTGGGAGGTGATGGGACACGCTGTGTTGTTGTGTGTTATTTTCGCGAGAATAACGAAGAAACACGGGTTTTGAGGTTCTGAGGCGATACTATCAAGAGAGGTTTTTAGAGATCTGATGCTCTTATGATGAGTCGTAGTTGTATGGCATTCCTCCAGATGTCTTCCCACAGCATGGGACCCTAGCTCTCGCATGGGTGGGTTTTCCCCTGCGTACCTGACCGTCGCTGCTGATAGATACACCAACTCACCAACAATGAACGTAGGTGAGGTGGCAACGAAAAATCCGATTCCTTCAGCCTCCCAAACCGAGGTCGGAGCCCATAGAGCATCCAACCGCCAAACCAGCTACATCTGCAGCCATGAAGGAAGTCTATTGCAAGTAAGTCAAATGGAATCATATGGATGTAAACCGCAAAAAAAAACCCAAACCCTGGCAAGTTGACCTCCCTCATGGTTTTTCTTCGGTTCATTTTCGGTGGTAGAAAGGGGTATACCACTCACTTGCGACGACACTCTTTGAGCACAACTTGTTTGCGATGACAACAGCATCACCAGCATCATGGGTCATGGGTGGGGTGGATGGAGGGGTCGGGGGGGGTTGGGGTGGGTTGGGGTGGGCTAGTGGAATGATTGGCCCATGACCACATCATCACATCTTACATCCGTGCGCAACCGACACACACACACACAGTTCTCTATATGATATAAGGGTGGCCAGTTCTGTGCGATCTGAGGCTGGCCATCGATGACAAGTTGAGAGAGAGGGCGTGGTACTTTTTGTGTTTTCTTCCTTTAATTTCCACCGCCACTCATCCCAAAGCCTCCTGGAACCCTTTGAGGTCCCTTTAATGTGCATGATACCATGGTTCACTTCACCATGCCCCCAATTTCAGGGACATCTCTGCCCCCACATGTTTCACCGCCCTGAACACATCTGGTGTTGTACTGTAGTAATTAACTAGTTGATTCTTGGTCCGGGTGATTCTGGAGGACCTAAGTTGGACTTTGGACCCTAAACCACCTCTTCGTCTTCCTCTCGGAAAACGCTGGAGATCCATCGGCGAAAACGACCTGCGACCAGTGGACTCCTACCCCAAACGCTCCATGGGACTTCCATTATATGCCGCCCCATTGACCCCCCTGGCACCAGCCCAACTGATCGGCACGATATTCCATACATGGAGCGTCTGGGTACTGACTGGGACATCGAAACACACACGACATCGATCTCTTGGTGAAGGTCCTGCAGGTCCAGGTCCAGGTCAGTTCACCAGTCCCAGACGCGACTCATGAGACTGCCAGTCCGGACTGCCTTCAAAACGGCCAGGGGTGGTGCCAGGGGGGTCAATGGCATACATGGAGCGTCTGGGCATCTTGCTTGCAACAAAAACGACGATATACACCGTGACGTCACGTCTTCGCAGTCTCCTCCAAAAAGGGAACGGGGGATGGCAATCATGTTTTGTAGCACACACCCATTTCAACCCAGAAGTAGGATGCCTTCTCCAACTGAACCGGGCTCTTAAACAAACCTTTAGAAAAATTAGAAAACACCCACACCCACACAGAAACGCACACAAACACACAAACGAACGAACGAACGAACGAACCAACAAGCCAACAAACCAACCAACCAACCAACCAACAAACACCGCGTCGAAAAAGAAGAAACAAAATGAAACAAACACATCTGAAAAAGAAGAAAACACCCACACCCACACATTCTATCTTCTTCTCACCTGAGCAAAGGCAGCAAATCCATTCGCCGCAACAACAGCAAGGTCGGTGCCAAGTCCACACAAAGCACCTGACGCGCGGTCGACTACTCGAGTGGGTCGCATCTGTGGGTGACCCGAACGAGTCGATGGGGGTCATGGTCCATGTGATCCCACACCACCATACAATCGCCTGAAAACGCCTCGTGTTTGACGACAGGACGTATCTGGACATATACACATATCCAAAAAGAATGACCCAGGTGTGAAAACACCTCGTCAATACAATCTACATACAAACGACCAAGTATCTGGACACATGATTTTGAGGAAAAACAGTCCCAGAGCAACGAATGGATCTAACATGGTCTAGCGAGCACGTCGTACACTTGTGGATCAAAGCAGCCACAAACACGCGAACGAGAGCGAAAGAATGCTTTGTCTTCTCCACCTTTCAATCTTCAGGCTTTAGCTCTGTCTGCTACTCAACTTGCATCCCGTTCCAGCTGCATAGTTGTCTGCTTGACACTTGCCTTGGTCTTCGCTTACCGGTTCAAGCAACTGGAAACCATGGTCTTGGGTTGTAATCAAACTTGCTTTCGCACAAACAAGGTACAAAACATGCTTGGAGGTTGACGAAATCATCTTCAATTCACTGAACTGATATTATAGTGTACCTGTACCAGGAATGCTGTCAAGCTCCAGACGGCAACCGGGTGAAACTGCGTTCAAGATTGCATCACTGCTTGGTTAACTCCTCGGGCCCTTTCTTGGATCCCTTCTTCAAGTGGTGCTTGTGCACCTTCTTGAATCTTTGCCATTTACAAGCTGAGAACTGCTTTGGTCCCCAACTTGCCTCTGATTCACATTTGAAACTGAAGCCAGCTTTTTCATAGCAGCGGATGGCACGCTGGTTCCTGGCCAACACACTTAGCTCTACGGTCTCACATTTCCAACCCAGACCTTAGTTCGAGGCGATGTTGATGTTTGCATGACCTGTCTGTTCGAGGACGGCATGCGGTCAGCACTGAGCCACTGTGAACGTTTTTGCTTGTTGTGACTGGTTTTTGCACTTCAACTGATTTTAGCTGCAGTTTCAAAGCCCCAATCCCCTTCATCATCCTTCCCAACATTTAGCTAAAACACAGCAATTGTGTTTGGACAATCTCTGCTGCCGAGTCTCGCTGGCTATAGTCTTCAGCTGCCTTTATGAGGAGCCCACCGATCCCCCTGCCCGTATGCTGTGAATCAACCTGAGGGCTGTCCGACAGCTATGCACCAAGAAAAGGCTATATATAACTTTGCACTTTCTGGCCAAGCCCTCCGAAGGCTTCTAAACTCAAAAGGCATAGAGAACAATTAAACAAGTCATGATGCATCACTCTGCTCTCTACCAACTGGCTGGAGAGCTGATTCCTCCGAGCAACTTTGATGTGCGAAATGTTAAGGGCCTTCTTTTCCTTGGAAAAGGTGCAATGGATATATCCGGCCACCTCCTTGTTCGCGGTTTTGATCGCGGGCAGAGTAAAATGCTGCGAATTGGCATCTGATAACACTGTCTGGCGGCGGATGGAAGATGCTGGCTGCTGGAAGTCACACACGTACCGCACTCCTCTTTAGAATCTGGTTCTAGTAGCTCCTCATCGCTACTATACGAACAAGAACGCTACTAGTACCAAAGCTCATCGCTACGAACGGAGCAAGGAGGCTACTACGAGTAGTAGCTCCAAACAGCTACTTCACTTCCCTCTTCCAAACCTCCATGTCTCTGATGACTCTGCTGCGTCTCTACTGGTGACAACATGTGATTTTTTTTTAATGTATATATATACATATTTAAAAGACTTGTGACACAATGGAGATCATCAGTGTACGCAAACAGCACGCAAAACAGAACATTTCCTTTTGGAGAGTGACTCAAGTTGCAACGCTCCACGCCTTGATTCCACCCACTGCATCATTCGGGGGCTCTGAGGCATCGGTAATCACGCCCACAGCTTTGGACCATTGCTCATGCGTAAGCTTCGGAAACCAGGATTCGTCCTTCATCAGCCTCGTTTGTTTTCACAACTTCGCAAAGCATCACCTGTAGAAGGTAGCAGTGGAAGGCTAGCAGTAGACGTCACACACACACAAAACACACAAACTTGCAACCGAAGCCACCTTGCATGGTCCACAACGAAGTGCTTTTCCAGAACCCGAAGTTTTGCTGCGGTAGTGGGCGATGACACTTTGACAACCGAGTATTCGCCCTCTGAATTTAGCAAGTCCTTGTCAGGCAACTTCACGCCATCTTTTGCGCCACATTGTAAACATGCAACAGAATTCGGGTAGCATAAACAGCCACGTGCGTGGTCCAAGATCAACCAAAAAACACACCAACGGATGGGTTTCTAGTGTGCAGCTTGATAGAGAGCCAGATCCCCCCACTCCGCCACGATGCACCTCGCCCGGCAAAGTCTCTACAAGTCAAACAACATGCAACTCTCGCAAGCACCGTGCTTGCGCCGAGAGGACACGACCGTTCCGGCGATATGTCCGCCACGAATCACATCCCCGGACCACGACGAATGGGACTGCCAGTCCAGGACTGCCTTCAAAACGGCCAGGGGTGGTGCTGTCTGGGGCCTGTCGGCGGCAGTCCGGACTGGCAGTCCCAGATGGCGGTCGTGTTTCACCTCCGCAAAACATGTCGTCCACCGTCCTTGGGCTTGAAGTCCGCGGTCTCGATCTTCGGGTGACGCATGGGCCACTCATCGGCCCATGCTTCCAGTTGCTCAAGCGCACTTCGTGGGCGCTTGCTGCGTGGTTCGGGACCTGGCGACGTCGTGAACTGCTGCAAGACGGTTGGCAGTCAGACAGTGTCGCGTTTCGAACACCGAGGCGAGAATCACGAAGGTATTTGTCTGGCAATTGCAACAACAACGGGGCAAATTCATGTATGTTCAATCCATCATATTGTTGCACTGAGAGGATTGAATGCTAAATTGTCAAACATGGAAAAGGAACCAACAAACAAATGAAGTCGAACAACTCTCACGACCCGGCGTTGTATGTAATACACGCAAGCGACAAACCAGGGCAACCCTGCTCTACGATTGTTGTGGCCTTCGGTCACTTCCAGTCGCCTCTTTTTCCGGGCCTGGAAACAGGCATTTGCAAGCAAAGAATCATAGCGAGCACAAGCTCTTGCACTATAGCTGCTATGCATGGCTTTTGCTGAACTGGGTTGATGTACCTTGTACTTCGGCTTCGTCCTGGCCATCCTTTTCGACCGTTGCTTAGCAATGTCTACGGCGTCTCATCCGGTGGGTTCGGGCGACAGAAGGGATCAAGTCAGACAAAGGGCACCCAACTCATGAGACAAAGCGCATGCTACGCTCTGCTTCCATCACTTCGTGCACGTAATGAGTCACTTGAGGATTTGTGCACAAACTGTGCATGGCGCGTGGTCCGTGAGTCCATGACCGAAGGGCACCAGGGTGACCAGGGCGCATTGTACCGCCTTGACGGTTCTTCACGAGACCTGGGACCTCCGGGGTCCGACGTTCGTGTCTGCCCCGTCGGGCGGTTTGGAGCTGCACTCGGACCTTCACGAACGGCCTCGTACCGATCTTTCACGGAACAGGGAACCACAGGGCATCTTTCGACCCATACGCTCCATGTATGGAATATCATGCCGATCAATTGGGGTGGTGTCAGGGGGTCAATGTAGGCATATCTTCCAGTCCCATGGAGTGTATGATAGTGTATGGGCAGGGGTTCCGACCGCGACGGCCCGTTCCGCGGTTCCGCGGCTCCACCGGCCTCCTGGAATACGGCGCACAGCTCGTCCGAGGCCGTGGTCATCACGCTCTGTTTCTTGTGGTTGACGACCTGCCCGGATGGGTCCGCCGCCCCACAATACGGCGGCTCAACCCACGAGTCGAGCTATGAATCGACAACGCGAAAAACACACCAACTCTTGAAGCCACACAGTCTGCTGTACTTCACAGTCATGCACAAACAGCACCAACCAAAACCTGCACTAGCCTGCATGTTCCCAGTACGACGACCCCTGCATCGCTTCTTCGAAGTGAACAAAGTTGTGTCAGCCGCCGCTACCAAAAACAGTGCGTCGTCGAACAAGCCTCGAAGTCGGCTCCGTGGTCGAGCAGCATCTCCACAGCTGTGATTCTGGAACGCTTTACGGCATAAAAAAGCCTCAAGCAAACCAATAAATATCTGAAGCAAGTCTAAGGCAATGGAATAGGAAAAGTGCTGCCACTGTTTGAACCCTTGCACCAAGCCACGCTGTCTCGCCGAACTTGTCAAGTGTGTCTACGTTGGCTTTGCTGTATACAAGAAAGTTGCACGTGTTGACGTGCCCTTGGCGAGCCGCATAGAACAGTGCGGTCTGGCGATTGTCCTCAATATGTCCAAGGCATGCGGCAGAAAGTACAAAGCATATCGCAATAGTAGCTGCAACAATCCCACTCGCTCTCTCTCTCTCTCTTTCTCTACCCTCCCTCCAACTAAAATGGAAGTGGACAACCGATTCCTGTTTGTAGAGGAAAAGGGTCTTTCCAGTGCCATGTTCCACTTCCATGATTGTTCATGATTGTTGGAGGGAGGGAGGGTATACGTAGCACATCTCCGTCTCTCTCTCTCTCTCTCTCTCTCTTTTCTGGACCTTATGTCAGCCCAAGAGCATCGAGGTGATTCAGCGGGACTCCAGCCCGAAGGAGAGTGTCACAAAGCTCCAGGGCCTCTGCAACTTCACTGTGCTTTCAGCAAGGAGACTTGGCCAATGGATGAAAAATGATGAAAAGCTACGTGGCTACGTGGTGGCTACGTGTGGCTACGCGTGGAATATGTCACCACATCAACACCTTGATGCCAAATACGCTCGCAAGCCAATTTGACGCTGCAATGCTTTGCATGTTGCTTTCTTGTCAAAGAACAGCGTCTGCGCTGCCAATGACACATAATGACACCAACCTTTGCCGCCTCTTCATCTTCTCCATATCGTGCAGCAGCAAAGAATAACAAAGTCTGCTGCATTACGGTCTTCAAGTGGCCTGGTACAGTTAACCGGGAGTATGCGCATGCACTCAGGCAAAGTAAGCATAGAAGTGTCGGGTATACACATCCTTTAAAACTGCACAAGTGGATCAACCATACTGAGATGGCGCCCTAGGAGGGATATCAACTTATGCTTAGCTATCCTGACATGTGGATCACGAGATTGAGATGCGGCTTAAGATGCATTGGTTTGACGCCACCAATGCGGCCACATGTTGCTGTGCTTTGATGAAGGAAGCATCCTTGGTTCGCAAGACTCTTTTTGCAAATAGGACATCATTCACAAGAAAAACATACAATAACATGTGCTGTCTTTCTTGGATTGTTGCTTTGAAGATCATTGAAGTCAAGTTAACTAATTATAGTCGGCCCAGACTGACGGGGCCCTTGACTCTGAAAGATGGTTATGATCTAACACGTCCAAAAATGAGAAGGAACCTTAGAGCTTTGCAGTGAATCCAAGTAGCCCGCACCGTCAGAAACATATCATCTTTATTGATTTTGATGGTCGCACGCGCGACAGGCATGCTTGTTCAAAGCAATCAACGGAGCGCAAGCACTCCTTGTACCCAATCAGCTGCGGTCAAGCTGTGATGCTGGCGACCACCAAACAGAGTCCAGGACTTGCTCAAAGTCACTTAGCGTGTCTTTGCGGAAAAAAAGTGCTGCTCTCCGAAACAATGAGGGCCGGGAGATCTCCATCTCGCCCCTCGCTGGCTAGACTGGTCTGTTTCCCGAACCGAACCGAGGGGGTCGGTGTCCGCCGACCAGTGTCGGTCTCCCTATTTGAACACACGCCCGTATGCGATGTATATGGATTGATGTGTAAGGTGTAGAATAGGGAGGCCCCCGAGCCATGGATGTTAGCTCGATTCAGTCGTTCAGGGTCTGATAGTATTACCTGGGGTGTTTCCTGGTCAACAGGTTTCCAGAAACCACCTGTTAGGCTTCAAAAAAACACAGGAGTTAGGAACGCTTCAGTCAGAAGGTCTCAGTCTTTCAGGGTTCCATTCTTCCAACAGTTGGATAATAGGTGGATCAATGGAAGTGGTGCGATGCTGGTCCAGGTCCAACTTACCCAAGCCCTCCGACCCCGCGAGTCGCGCGTGGAGTCGACTGCTGACGCCCCGGCGCCTGCCGGTCTTGGTGGAACTTCAGCTGCTTCAGTGGCACACCTCAACCGACCAAGTCGCGCGGCCGCACCACACGCGCGGGAGGCCACGCGCGTGGCGCACGTGCTCTCCAAGACCATCCATTATATGGAAATATATACCTACATTGACCACCCCAATGAAGGTCAATAGGCCAGTCCCATGGATGCTCTGTCTCGGTCTGGATGTTCCTGTCAGTCTCCTGGAGATCTCTTTCCGGTCCCCAAATCACCGACCGAACCCGGCGCCTCTGGACTGGGCGCTGTGCCAGGGTTAACGGTTAATGGATACCGGATACCCCTTAAATCCCCTTAACCTCTAAGGAGCTCTAATTGGACACCGGCCCGGGCTTTCCGCATGATAATCCAGGTGAGGCAAGTGTCGACACCGCAGGTGTGGCGAAGGATGGCGAATCTGTTTCGTCGTGGTCCTAGATCGGGTGTCAGGTACATGGATGGTCCAACGGATTTGACCAGTCTTCCAGTTCCCATGGATGGTTCCATCCCCAAACCGCGACCCGAACTGGCATATCTGATCCGTTGGGATGCTAGGGCCGCTAGGGTAGCTAGGGGTCCATGTTGGGACAGGCATGGAGTGTCTGGGATTCAGTTTCTTGACCACCAAAACGACCTGGCACTTCGGTCGCTCCCGTTCGCAGGTGCCAACGGTCATTGGAGTCATCTGTGATTCCGTGGGAGGCCTGGTATCTCTTTCACTCATCCCAGATCCACTGCCACATTCTCAGGTTCGGCACGACTCAACCCTCCTGGCACCTACATAAAAGTGTCCCTAATAACCAATCACCTCCAAAAGGAGGGTGTCAGTGGATCCATAGGGCAATTTCTGTGTACCTGGAGCCCCAAACTACCAGAAACCATTGGTTTTGTCCAATATTATGGCAATTGAATCCTTTACATAGGAAATGGCTGCTTAGGGAAACATCCATTTCTTTGTGGTTCTTTGGGGTTCCAAGTACCCCAAGACACTCGGTCGCGACCGTGGCGCAACAGGGCGTCGTCAGTCGGTCAGGCCGAGAAATCAAGTAGACTAGCTTGAGACTCTCAAAAGACGTCCAAAAACCCTGGATCGTATATGAAAAATACATGTCGAAATGACCAGGCCTTTCATGAATCTTCATTCGACATCACACCCGTCTCTGAACACCCACATCGCAAAAGGAGCGCCCCCAAAAAAGGAGCGCCTTGCCCCATCTTCGCTGGCTGGTCGGAGGTCGAATGTTTGGACCACTCTCGACCACACCTGGCAGCTCTCCAAACACAAATTGATACAACACTCATCAAAACTTGCAATGTCGATGAAACACCCGGCCCGAAAGCCACGCAGGCTTGCCCGCCCCCCCCCCCAAATACGCTCCCCACACCACACTCCCCGTATACCGGGCCCAGTGCCGGGCCCTACAGGTCCCGTCCATGAGGAATCGGACTCCCAGCGTCACCGACGCGCCATCCAGCGTCCACTGTGTCGGACTCCAAGCGTTGGAGCACGCCGAGGAGGTTGGGGCACGCCAGCAGGTGGTAAGTCACGTGGTCAGGCTTTAGAACAAGTGATTCTATGTTTTTCGTTTGTGTCGTCTAGAGTCGTCTGCTGGTCTGGTCTTCTGAGTGAATGGACAAAACATGAGAGACCAAAAGGCTTGCAACAATTTGTATCCCTAAGCATCATGGACCAAAAGTGAGGGTTTAGTTCAGGTCGATCCAGAATCCGATGATTGCTGGGTCAGGAGTCAAGACCCTCCAATTTGCTGGGTCGTTAGTGCAGTTAGGGATGTTCCCATGGATAAGTGGATTGATCCAGTCATGAATGGTGGTATCTGTGTCCTTCTGAGTATTTCCCACATGTGTTGCCCTCATTTGTCACGGAACAAAGTAAAACACACCTCCCAAAAGAAAAACATGGAAGAACAACACCTGTTGGTTTCACCAAGAATTGTAGAGATTCCATTGGGTGGTTTGAGCAAAGGCGTGTTCTTGGGGGAATCCGTTCATCAACAAGTAGGTGCAGCATCAGCCAACACTGAATGTTCTTTTCGCTGAGTCGGATGTGAAACAAACGAGTTTGAACAGCGTAGTGTTGGGGGTCCAACACCACGCCGTTCAAATCATACATCATGTAGCAAAAGTATGTAACAGTGATCCTAAGATTGTCACTGTCACGGCGCCGAACGTGGCGGTGCGCCGAATGTGGCGCCACGGCGAAAGCCTGGAAGAGAGCAAAGAATCAGAGGCCCTGAAGACTGCATGCCCGTCCTGTGAGAAACAAGTACCAAGTAGCGCATGTGGTCGGCCAAGCGAGAAAGAACACCGTGCCGCGACGGTGATCCAAACCCAAAAGCTCTGATCCGGAATGTTCATTGAATCAATTCAAGTATGGGATAGGGCTTGGAAACTGATGTTTGGGGGGAGGGAATTGACATGAATTGAATCCGATATTGAAGGAGGGGCCCAACACTTGCTGCTTTGCAAACAAAAACTCAAGGTATCTCCCTGAGGGCTACCTTCCGTGACCAGGTGCGAACCTCTTATAGATCACCAATGTCTGATTCAGGTGCTGTGCTTGCGACACAAATCATTGACACTGGTCAAGCAGAGTGTGAAGTCACGTTGACCACCGAGACGGCTTCCCGGGTTACTTCCCTCACCGACAACCTCACCGACCCCCCAAAAAAAACCGGATGACCGACCCATCTCCGACCGGGCGCCACTGACTTCGCCTCCATCCCAGCAGAACGTGTGGCGAACGGCGTTCGCCAGCCACGCGTGGCGAACGAGTCTCCTGGAGGTTGGGCTCCATCGCATAGAAGCTGTGCGACTCGTTCTGCCGAGCGTCACGACGCACAGGTGATGCGCACGTCGAAGCCGCTCGTGACTCGTCGTGATCCGGCTTCTTTTTCGCTTGGTGGACATGGACTTCGAGGCTGAAATCGAGACAGGCGGTTGTTCATGGATGAAGGAAGCAAGCACTTGATGAAGGCTCCAAAAGGATCTCCACCAAGAGCTCCCCAGCGGCCCATGCGCCCTCGGAGGATGCCATGCCATGTCCACAAGCACGCGGATGTCAAACAACAAATCCCCTGCACCAGCCATGCACCCGCAACAGGCCTCCAGAAGCCAAACACCCTGCCAGGCGAGAGACAAGAAAGGCGCCTTCTCCGTGCCTGCACCGATCGAGAGGAGGCGTAACCGAGAGGTGGCTCAGGCTGGTCGGCTTCAGGCGGTGAAGCACGGAGGTGTAAAATCCTCAACGAAACGCAGAAACCACATGATCTGAATGTAGACCAATTTTTTTAGGGGGTCTACAGTGAATTGGATGAAAGTTAGTTGAATGTTAAGCGACCTGCCAGCAAGGTGAGTCATAACATCTCAAACATCGCTTTGAAGATTGGCTATCCCAGTCAGGCCAAACTGGCTGGCGATGTCTCTCCAATCCTGGAGGTACCCGGCGATCTCATGAAGAGCGTGGCACCCAGGCCTGCTTTTGCGATTGAAATCTCCAGATCTATAGAGTAAACTAAGGACGAACGGACGAACGGCCTGGTTTCGCCCTGGAACCGTTGATTAGGAGGTGGTCCAAACATCTCCAAAAACGACCAGTAGTGCACCTCAGTGGGTTGCGTGGCTATACGGTTCTGCGGGACGCCTGGGAATCTTTCACCTGACCGGACCGCTGCGAGGCGGGCTCCGTGGTCAGTCCCTGCCAGTCAGTTTGTTTCTGTCACGTGAATATCTATGCATGTCCCAGCACCCAAACAATCCCATAGATAGCAATTTACAAAGGATCCTTGGATGGAACAAACACATCGATGGTCTTAGAAAGACCCTGGAGTCCACCCGTTTGTGCCTGCAACAATGGCTGAATTCGTAACTACAAGTGAAGTCAGGTGGCATGTGAGGTACGGAGACTTGCAGGTCGCCCGCTTTCGCGGCGCTGTTCTCCCATCCTCCCAGTGCCTTGCAGCTTCACCAGCCGGAAGAAATAGGGTTCTTCTGCCCCCGCCGGCCTGGCCGAACGAGTGCGCACCCGCCCACCCGATCACCCGAACACCATGGGCTCAGGGGCCCCGAAAGCGTGCGTTCGTCTTCGTCTTTGGGTTCCCGAAGTTCGTTGTGAACTTGGGGGATCCACAGAGCTGGCCTAGGTACATGAACACCAAACCGTCAAAGTGTATCTGTATCCAATCACCTGTTCAAAGGATCTCAAAGGGTATGTGGATCAGGAAAATCTAAATGAGGTCCCACGTCCCAACATTGCACCATTTGTGTTTTTCCAAGCTGACTTAAGATGCACTCAGAGAGTCCAGAACCATCCGGCCGCCCTTTCGTTCCAAAAACTTTCTCAGGATCTGGACCTAGATGCTATTTGGGAGTTCTTGTCGCCAGTCACCCTTTCCATGATTCTTCTAAATCTCGTTTTCGAGCTTGGTGGGGCCTTGCCATCTATTGCCCCCATTGTTGGTTTTTTCAAGGGGTGTTCTATTGCCCCCATGTTGTGTGGAGAAAGCCATGCTTTTCAATGTTTTCCATGCCCAATTTGCGGGTTCCTAAGATTCGGCACCATGTCCATGCAGTTACAACCGGGAACCAACCAAACACATCTTCCCCATGTCTGTCCGGACTCGGGACCATGTCACATCCACCATGTCACATCCGCCGCTTTAGCAGGTGGGAGGCTCAACACATCGCCGCTTGTTTGTCGGCGGAATCGGCTGCGGAACCGAGGGCGGCGGAACCGGGCCTGGTGGGGCAGAAGCGTAGTAACTCCGACTTCTCGATGAGATTCAAGCGGTCCTATTTCTCGCAGCACGGAAAAGAGCGAAACTCGCAGCACGCTGTGAGAAACGGGCGCCCGCTTCGCCACTTCGCCCGCTGGACGAACACAACGATCACAAAGGACTGTTGACTTACTGAAATTTGTGT